AGAGTTTATCTTTGAATTAGGATTTTCTATTTCATTGATTTTATCTTGCCATACACATCCTAATTACTAGCAATAAAAAGCGGAAATATAAAATCCTACGCTATTACAACAATTAGGGAGTGGGGATACACATTTGTACATGGGGGGTTCAACGAGAAAAATAGACAAAAAAGAAAATAGCAAAAAACAAGATAGAGAGAAAGAGAGAGGGAGCCAGTGCGCTGCTGAGAGGTCATCATAAGTTCTGACTCAGACCCGCTGCCAGATGATCAACCTTTTGGTTAAACTGTATGAGTCAGAACTTCTGACTCTGGCACCTGCAAAACAGAAACCTGTTAGTGGGAAGATCAGAAGCTCTGACCCCCCTGCGCTGCAAGACAGAAGTTTGTTAGTGGGGAAATCAGAAGTTCTGATCCTGCTGGAAATACAATAATTCTCAGAAGTTCTGATATTATTGACAACAAAACAGGCTTCAGATGTGCTAACGTCAAAGTCAGCACTTGGCTTCTCCCTGTGCTAATCAGAACATCTTCAATTTTGTTATTATTCCACAAAACAGAAAACATGTTTGGAATAGCTCCAGCAAATGTCAAAGTGTTTCAGAGGACAGAACCAACAAGGTCACAGGCAGGTTCTACGCTGGCTCAAAACGTTCTGAGGTATGAAAATCCTCAGAACACAAACAGCAACAACATGATATTTATATTATGTTTATTTGAGCATGCAAAGCTGATGATGCTTAGTAGCGTGATGAAGGTCAGCAGGTGCTTACCTGGCTGTTGGAAAAGTTTGTGGATGAGAGCTAGCTTTTGACTCTGATGGTGTTCTGGACAGGTTCTTTTTGAAAAGGGTAGATGAAGGTTTATGCGTATATATGATCAGAGGTTGAAAAGGGTGTTCTTTAGTCACAAAGAAAACTGGGTATTTGATGAAGTTTGAAGGTAAGAAATTCAAAGTTATGAAACACTGGAGATTTTGGCAGAGTTTCACAACACTTTCTTGCTAAAGATTTCTGTTTCTCTTCTAGCAATTTTTCTGTTTCTTTGGACGCCTCTTATCAGTGGACAATGGCTCTCTATTTATAGGCAAAACTCTTGTGGATTTCTTGAACATTAAGGGCGCCAATAGAGGTTGCATTGTTCTTTGAAAGAAATTCCTGGGAAGTTGTGATAACAAATAGCCTTTCAGCCTAGACTGGAACAGCAGGCGTGGATTGGAGAGAAGTGACCTCTTAGGTGGACGGTGGCGCGTAGACCCATGCCAGAACCTGCATAAAGGCGTTTACCAAGCCACACGTGAAGGGACTACTTGGATGAATGTTCAGGAGTGGTTGGGAGCATTAATGAGCATTAAATAGTGATAAGACTTATCAACACCAATATTCTGGTAGTAGAAACAAAACTTTGAACCAGCAGTTATGTTTTACCAAGAACAATGTAAACCATTCTCTGGTCTTGGCCTCCTGTTGTCTTAGCAAATTCTGGGGATTCTCCTGATTTTATGACACGTTCCTTGGATTTGCTTCTGGAAATCTTGGGCTTAGAGATTCTGTATCAGTGTAACACCCACTCTTCTGACCTTTTCATCTTCTGATTTCAGCATGTTCTTGTTTCTTTTGCATTCCTTTAGCAAACTCTGGCTGAACTTGTGTAACTGCTGAAAGAGTCATGCTCTGTCTGAGGCTTACGTGTTGAACCACGTTTGCAACTTCTGACTGAGCTGATGTAGCTGCTGAAGAGCCAACTTCTGACTGCGTTGAGCCAAGCTTGCAACTTCTGACCGTTTCTATCTGGAGTTTGGTCCAGAAGTTCTGAAGCGCTAATTTCTTCTTAAACACTCATTTTTAGAGAAAAATTCCAAATGCTTAGAATTTAATTTTTCTCAAGATAAAGTGTTGCTTTTAGAGCTTGTGTGATTATTTTGCTCCTATCAATGGTTTGCTTGGGCAAAAAATGGACAATTCAGGACTTGGATTTGTTTCAGAGGGACTCTGTGAATCCCAGATGATTTCCTGAAGAAGGAGAGGGCAAATTTTTGGGTACAACAACATGGATATGTTTTATTAGAGAAATATCAGAAACCTTTGAACTCTTTAAAGATATCTGTTAAAAACTTCAAAGAGAAAAGGATAGTCATGTCATCAGAATCAAAAGTGATCTTGGAAAGGAATTTTGAGAATAATAAATTTGCTTATATATATTCTTCTGAAGGAATCAGTCATGAATTTTTCTCTCCCATTACTCCTCAGTAAAATGGAATTGTGGAATGCAAAAACACAACTCTTCAGGAATCTTCCAGAGCAATTCATGCTAAGAAGTTACCCTACCACTTTTGCGCTGAAGCTATGAATACTGCATGCTATATCCATAACAGATCACTCTAAGAAAAGGGACCTCAACCACCTTGTATGAAATATGGAAGGGAAGAAAACCTACTGTCAAATACTTTCATGTTTTTGGAAGTAAATGTTACATCTTAGCTGACCGTGAACAGAGAAGGAAGATGGATCCCAAGAGTGATGAGGGAATATTCTTGGGTTACTCTACAAATAGAAGAGCTTACAGAGTATTTAACTCCAGATTTAAGGTTATGATGAAATCCATAAATGTTATTATTGATGATAGAGGATGGAATGATGAAGAAGATGTCTTAGAAGATGTTGGAACATCTTTGTCATACATTCCAACAGAATCTAATGATAGAAGTACTAATCTTAATCCAACTCAAGAAGATCCTGAGCCCAATCAACTCTATAAAGGGCCTTCAATCAGAATTTAGAGAGATCATCCTAAGGATCTTATTATAGGAGATCTAAATAAAGGAGTTACTACTAAGATTAGGGATGTCAAACTCTTGCTTTGTTTCAAAATTTGAGCCTAAGAATGTCAAAGAAGCCTTAACTGATGAGTTCTGGATTAATTCTATGCAAGAAGAGCTAGAACAATTTAGAAGAAATGAAGTTTGGGATCTGGTTCCAAGACTTGAAGGGATAAATGTGATTGGCACTAAATGGGTGTACAAGAATAAATCTGATGAAAAAGGTGTGGTTACTAGAAATAAGGCAAGATTAGTTGCACAAGGATACACTTAAATTGAAGGAGTTGATTTGATGAAACCTTTGCCCATGTGGCTAGACTTGAATCAATCAGACTACTCTTAGGAGTTACTTGCATTCTAAGATTTAAGTTGTTTCAAATGGATGTAAAAAGTGCCTTCTTAAATGGATATCTGGATGAGGAAGTTTATGTGGAACAACCTAAGGAATTTTTTGATCCAAGCTTTCCTAACTATGTGTACAAACTGAAGAAAGCTCTGTATGGATTAAAGCATGCTCCAAGATGTTGGTATGAGAGATTGACAAAATTTCTTGCTGAGAATGGATATAAGAAAGGTGGTATAGACAAAACTCCTTTTGTCAAGGAAGAAGAAGGGAAGATCATGATTGCACAGATTTATGTTGATGATATTGTGTTTGGTGGGATGTCACACTACGCCAAAAATAAGTTTTAGCAGCACATAAAAGAAAGCGCTTTTGGAAAAAAGCGCTGCTGTAGGTTTTTAAAAAAAATTGCTTAAAAAAGCGCTTTCAAAGGGTGCCTTAAGAAAGCGCTTTTCAAAAGAGCTTCTAAAGGTCACCCTTAGAAAGTGATTTTTGGGAAGCGCTGCTAAAGTTGGCCTTTCAGAGGGTACCTTAAGAAAGCGCTTTTCAAAAGCGCTGCTAAAGGTCAGCCTTAGAAAGCGCTTTTCCAAAGCGCTGCTAAAGCTGGCCTTTAGAAAGCGCTTTTAAAAGCGCTGCTATAGGATATGCTACGAAAGCGCTTTTTGATGTAAAAGCGTTGTTATAGATGACCTTTAGAAAGCGCTTTTAAAAGCGCTTTCGTAGGTAGTTTTATAATAAATATCAAAACACAATTCGTATCACTTTACTATTCTCAGTCAGATTTTCTTCACGAAAAAACCCTAAACCAGAGCTTCTACAACGGTCAACGGTGCTCCACTTCTCCGGCCAACTGCAATTCGTATCAGGTTTCATTTTCCCCCTCATCTCGTATGTGTTTGTCTGGTTTTCGTGTGCTTTTGTTTGGTTAATGATTTTGAGCAAGCATGGTTTCTACTGTCATAGAAGTGTCTTGAAACAATAGTGGGAACAACACTGTCATAGAAGCCTTCTTCTCCTTTTGGTTTCTGATCTAAATTTTAGATTTATTATAATCATTTATATAACTTTTTTTGTCTTACATATATTTTTATTTACATAAGACTTGCATATCATGTTTGTGAAAAAGAGCACATTTCTTTGTCATGTGTGTTTGTTTGGGTGGGTGCAGAAAGCTTGTCTTTCAAAATTGCTATGATGGTTTTTTCCATAGATCACTCATATTGAATGTGTGATTGAGTAGAATAAACCTCTAGCATGGGCACAAAAAATAGTAAGTAACCCCCAAATCTGAAATATTCAAGCATTACTAGAATCAGGAGGATATGGAGGAGACTCATTTATGGACGACGTCGTTTGATGGGGAAATCCATGTTTGTGGTAAGTTGCCTCAAATGGGTACCAACACCGACGTCCAATTGCATTTCGTGGAGCTCCCAACTCTCATGGTATCCATTTCAAACCAACCCAACTCTTGCTTATTGCTGTTCATCTAACTTTCTTATCTTCTCATACCAATTAACTAATTTTAATTTTAAACTTAATTAAACATAACTGATTACTTAATTACTGATTAGTCCATTAGGATTGTGGCACCAACTAGGGTTTTCACGATATTAACGCAACAAAATACCTTAAACCCTCAAACTGCGCCCTAATATATATTTGTATTTCATTCACCAAACCCTGATCATCCCATTATATTTTCTCTCTATATCGTTTCTTATTTTTCATTATTTCATCAACATTGCATGCCACTATTTCGTTCTTCATACAAGTTCTCTGAACCTTGATCTAATTCATCAACGATAATCAAATCAAAAACTCTATTTTATTAATAGCCATGCCTTATTCAAATAACATTCCAACATTTAAGATGCCACCACCGCAATTCTCATTATCCACCAGCAGCGATATCATTCAGGTGAGTCCTCAATTACCCATGACCAACCAACATACAGCATTGGATCGTTCCCATTCATTCAAAAGGCTAAGAATGTCTGACAACAACCATTCCAATACAGTGATGGGCCCTCCACCAAACAGACCAACAGGCAACATTTTCTTCAAGACCTGTATTTGTACTAGGTTTTGCTTTGGTACCTGTAGAAATGGTGAAAATTGTACCTTTGCTCATGGGGCTCATGAGATAAGGCAGCCACCACCAAACTGGCAGGAGCTCGTAGGTCTCCATACCCAGGAATGGCTGCAATTGGGAGGGAATTCGAATGATGATCAGAAAATCATTCACAAGATGAAGCTCTACAAGAGGTATTACAATGGTCAGGAATGTCCTTATGGTGATAACTATAACTTTCTTCATCAGGATCCTACTGAGTTTAGGGACGACTCTTGGAATACAAGAGAGTCCTCTGCCATCAGCTCTGCCATCAGCATTAGAACTTGTAATCATTTGGAAGGCAATAGGGTTGGGACTAAGCCAGTAAGGGGAACTAATTGGAATACTAAGATATGTCTCAAGTGGATCAATACCGGGTGTTGTACCTCAAAATTTGCCCTCTCTTTTCATCAATATTTTCTCACCACAAGACTCTTGGCACTGTTGACCCAAATTAGGGTTTGAGTTTGCACAAAGATGTTTTGACCTAAAATGACCAAAGTGGCTTTCATGCTTCATGTTGGACTCACAAGTTTATCCATACCAAGTTTCAAGCCTTGATTCCAATCTTTGCCCAGTCAATTGGACAGTTGACCTAGAAATCAGATGTATTGGGGAAAAAGTCAACTGTGGCCAATTGACAGTAAAACCTCATGAAATTTGACCCACATCAACATAATGAACTCATATGAACCATTTGGTCAAGTTTGGATCACCATTCCACAAGAAATTTGATCAGAACACCAAAAGGGTAAAATAGTCATTTTTAGGGTTTTGACTACACAAAGGCAATTTTTGACTGTTTGACCTAACTAATGGCAAACCAAGTTCACATATGGACTCAAGGACTTAATGGCATGATCTTGATACATTCAACAAGTTCAAAAGATCCCAAATGCATAGGATTGACAGATGAATTTTTCAGTCAACTGATCAAAATTTGATTGTATACTAAAAGTCAAACTTTGACTTTTTGGTCAAAATCAAGTGCCAAGATTCATTTTTCATCAAAATATGTCAAATTATGAAGCTTGTTCATCAATAAACCCAAATTTGCAAATTAGGGTTTAAAATGAAGAAATTTCATAACTTAGAATTTTTCTAAGTTATGAAACTTCCTTATTTTCTCCTAACTTTTCCCCATTCTTTCACCAAGATGCAAATGGATTCAAACAAAACTCAAAACATGAAAGTTGTAGACCATTACAAAATCTACAACTTTGATTCACAAAGTTTTCTCAAAGGAAGCTTGTAGCTCAAGTTATGATTTTTGGAACAAGGGTGCAAAACATTCTTAACTTAGAAAATTTTTGACCTATTCTAGGCAGGATTTTTGACCAACTTCATGGCCACTTTTCACATAGTTCCACTTGGAATATCAATTTGCATTACAAAGATGGATTGTAGTACACATTCCAAGCTTTCAAAATTGTCCAAGAACTTCTCAAACACCCTTGTGGTTAGGGAGAATCGAATTGGCAAAGTTGGGCAAAAGTCACTTTTGTTTATAACCAAATGCATGTTCATACATTGGCATTTTTCAAGTCAGCTTGTACAAGCTAGATTACAGGCCTCTAATCCTCTTCACACTCAATAATTAAATGCCAAACCATTATGTTCAAGCATTATTTTGATCATTTGGTCATTACATGCAAGATTAATCTTTAAATGGAAAAAGCATATTTGCCATTTTTGAAAAGGTACACTTTATGTCAAATTCAAAATCCAAGAGGCATGGGCCAGATCTTTGAAGCTAGCATTTGTACACAAATCACTCTGATCAAGAATAAGATATGCAGCATGCTCAAGGACTTGATACATGCCTATAACCCAACTTGCATTTCCTTGCTTACATAAAAAGAAAACTTGCAAACTCACTCCAATCTCTCACTCCTGAAAACACCAACCAAAACAAAGTTTGCAAACACTTTCCATACATCAAACCAAGCTTGAAACACGACTCAATCATCCCTAATCCCTCCTCATACATAAGATCACATTTTTTCTGCAAAACAGGGCACCTGTTGCAGTTTGGCTTCCACAAACACTTCCACTCGTGCGTTTTGGCCAAAGCTTGTTCAAACACACTCCCTACCACCCACTGAATCTATCCCAAGCATTGAACACAAACTGTAACATCCCTAACATCACTTGCCATTTTCAGTTTTCAGTTTTGCAGGTGGACTTCCATAGCTTGATTCAGAGAGATTCAAAGCAAGCTAAGCATAGGAGAAGCATCCTTGGACTTCAGGCAAGTTGTACCAAAGTTCAAACTCCATTGAAGATACCTTCATTGCTGTACACGACTCAAGCTGAACAGGTAAAAATATGAACTTCTATCTCTCTATCCAGGCATGATTAGGCTTAGGTTTGTGAAGAAAACATGTTCTACTCATAGCCCTGAAGCCATCCATGCATTTACTTTTCATTTATATTGAGTGTGCTGTGAGAATTTTGGCCATGAACATTGAAAAAAACTTAGGTCAGAAATTGGGGATGAAGAAATTCTCCTTCATTTCTGAGAGTTAGGTCAAGATTTTTATATGTATGAATTCGTCTCTTGATGCTCTACATTGTTTATGTTATGAGTTTTTGTTAAAAGTCAAAGAATCAGGAATTTGAATGAAGCATAGAGGGCGCGCGTTTTTGACAGAAGCTGGAGGAAGAAGATGATGTCTTGGGCTGGGCCTGAGCTATCCTTGCTTTTTGCACCTCTTTTCTCATTTTGCACCCCCCCTGGCCCATTGTGTGGAATATCCATTATTTTTGAGTTTTTATTTTTTTCTTCTGACTTTTTATTTTTGGTCAAAACATAAAAAACATAAAAAATATTTTTTCACCCATTTTTGCATTTATTTGGCATTTATTTGTTTTATTTAAGCATATATATAAACAAATATATTTATTTTTATCCAAAATATTAAACAATAATACAAAAATCTATTTTTTTTAGTTATTATTTTTTGTTTACATTTTGAAAACATTTTCTAAAAATATACACTTTTGTAAATAATTAATATTTTATTTTTAAGTATATATTTAGTATATTTAATATATAATATGAATACTTGCATATTTTATTAAATATTTAAGATAAAAATATGAAAATAATACATTTTTATTTTTCATTAATACATGACACTACAAAATACTTTTTTTTACAATATACTTCTCTTTTTATTTTTTGTATAAATTAATATATAAATGTTGTATATAATTAATAAATAATTTCTATTTATTCAAGAATTAGGGTTTTGCCCTAAAACCATAAAAAATATCAAAATTTAACCTTTTTATTTTTGTTTATATTTTACATTGAAAAATACTTTTACATACATAAAAAACCATTTTTGTGCATAATACATTTTTCCTATTTATTGTATTTATTTAATTATTGTACAATTAAATAATTTGTATATTCAATTTGAATGTAATAGTTTTAGATTTAATTTTTTGCTAAATATCCCCCCATTCAAACATTTGTACCCCCATCCCCATAATTATGTTGTAATAATTTAGGACTTTAAATTTCCGCATTTTAAAGCTTTCAAATTATGCCATGATAGACTTAGGGTTTGTATGCAAATAAACCAACAAATAGCTTGACTAATACAAAGACAAAAAAGCATGAAAATGGACAACACCAATCACACTTGCACCCTTAGGGTTCCTCCACTTGTTGCCTTCAAAAATGAGTCATGTTTGCATGTTGAGTTTCTTTGGCAAAACAAAAACAATTCAAATGATCATAGTCCCTCGATGACGCTTTCTCAAGTTGCCCAAAAAATGATCAAGTCCCTTAAAGGAAGAATTGCCAAAGACACTTGGCACTATTGCATTCATGGTCTAAACGATGACCCACGCCCGTCCCGTTAACATCCTAACACAAGATTGTCCACCAAATACAATGGTGGAACAATACTGTTAAAAGGGTTAAAACATAGGAAAGATCTTTGAGTAAATTTAGGGGTAGCCAACTCTTAGTTACTTGATCAAACTTGCAAAACAAATCCTTGCCATTTTTCAAAACACACATCACAACACAATTTCAAAACAAACTTTCAAAACATTGAAAACTTTTCAAAAGACAAATACACCTTTGTATACATTCAAACATGGATCATTACAAAGGTTGCCACAACAAATGGCCTCTTTTCAAAATCTCTTTCAAAATCACACACAAAGCACCATTTCAAACAATTGAAAATGCAAGGCAAGCGATCTAAGCAAGTAACTAAGAGCCCATGGATAACCATGGATAGAAAGGGTGCTAATACCTTCCCTTTCTATAATCTACTCCCCGAACCCAAGAAAACATCTCAAAGGTTTTTGCTGTGCTTTTTAACCTTTCCTTAGGATAAAATAAAAAGTCGGTGGTGACTCTTGCTAAACCGAAACATTTGCAAAAACAAACGCAAAACCCAAGTCAGTTCTCCCAGCGTATCAAAGAACTGGCGACTCTGCTGGGGACAAATTTAAAAGTGGAGTAACCTTAGGGCTTAGATCACCCTTTTGCTTGACTAATTGTTTGCTTTGATTGATTTACATCTTGGTTCTCTTGTTTGGGCTTGAAATCCTACACCCGGATTTGGGGAAACATTCATAGATAGCAATACGTTGTGGAAACTGTGCAGGGTATACCGACACGGTCGAAGCAATAGCTATATTAGTGCGACATATTTGTGAGTACCGGTAACCCTTGAGTTCAATCAAGGAGAGTACGGGGCCGCTGAGTGATGTCACTAAGCACTAATGACCTAGAACCTTACTTGACCATCTTGGCCTTTTATTAGGGGTAGTGAGATGACCGACTTTGGTGCAGTCCGAAGTTGGTAGATACTCGATACTACACTCATTGAGGGTTGTTTTCTTGGAATATTTTGGTCGCTAGTTAAGTGGCTAAACTAAAACAATGAACATAGAAAACAATTCAATGATATTGAGCTCCTTAGAACCCGGTTACTATTTATAGGACAGGTTTTTAAGCCAACTTCACTCAAGAGGGTACTTACCTATGAAACCCCATGCAAGCCTGAAACTAGGGTTTTGTGTGACTTGCTTGTACATATGTTTGTGCATACATCATGAACATCATAAAGCATCATATGCATCCACTAACCATTTCAAGGGTTTGGATCTTCATCTTTGTTCTTGTTTTGTAGGTCATGGAAATTCTTCGCAGGAAAACTATCCAAGTCAACCTTGTGAGAATCCCTCCTCAACTAAAGGAGCTTACATCCAGAATTCCAGAAAACTCTCTCTTCAGTGAAAGACATGGTAGACTGCTCAGCCTAGTCAACACCAGCATTGAAGAAGACATGGTGAAAGTGTTGTTCCAGTTCTTTGACCCCCTTCACCACTGTTTCACATTCCCCGACTACCAGTTGGTGCCTACTTTGGAGGAATTTTCTCAACTCCTGAGAATTCCTATTCTTAATCAACTATCCTACAATGGTACGGAAAAA